TTTTAAAAAAGGATAAATATTAAGATGTGTACAAAGGTGCAAAGGAAGGAGGGAAGCTGAGAGGCTGGGGAAGTGAAAAATCAAGAGGTCACAGAGTATGGTGAGTAGAGGGAGGGGATGAAAGAATTGGTAAAGATTCAGTGGGGACCTGAAAGAATGGATTAATAGTGGACATTGATCAAAGGTGATTAGCTTTATAAAACATATTGTGAACACTTGATTGTGTTTATATGAAGATTATACTTGGACCAGGAGGCAGTAGTCAGAACAGAGAAAGGAAACAGTTCATGGTCCAAAATTGGGAAGGATGTGCATCAAGGATGTGTTAATTCTCCATATCCTTATATCTATATATGGAACAAAATATCTGAGAGTCTGGGCTCTATAGGAAGAAGTGTGGCATCAGGATGGAAGGTAGACTTATCAACAATGTGCATTATGCAGATGACATGATTGCTGAAACTGAAGAGGACCTGAAGCGCTTGCTGTGGAGGGTCAAGGACTACAGCCTTAAATATGGATGGAAGCTCAACATCAAGAAAACAAAGATTCCCACTGCTGGGAAGATAGATGATGAAGAGATTGAGATTGTTGACAGCTTCAGTTTGCTTAGCTCTACAATCAAAATTCTTGGTACCATCAGTCAGGAAATTAAAAGATGAATTGCATTGGGAAAGTCTGCAAGGTACTGAGGAGCAATGATGTTAGTCTGGAGACTAAGGTTCACCTGATACAGGCCATGGTCTTTGCAATTATTTGCTATGCATCAGAGCTGGACAATGACTAGGGATGCTAGAAGGGAAGTGGATGCCTTTGAGCTTTGGTGCTGGAGAAGAGTATTGAAGATGCCATGAACTGCTAGGAGAAGAAACAAGTTTGTCCTGGAAAGAGTAAAGCTAGGCTGCTTATTGGAGGCAAGGATTCTGAAGACAAATCTGACATACTTTGGATGTGTTGCAAGGTGGGATCAGTCCTTGGAGAGGGATGCCATGCTTGGAAGTGTGGAGGGACAGCACAGCAGAAGACCCTTGATGAGATGGATTGATTCAGTCACTGGGGTAATGAGGATAGGCATATCAGAGACAATAAAATTGACAAGGGATAGAGTACGGTTTAGGGCAGTTTTACATGGGTTTGCTATGAGTCGCAAGCAACTCGATAGCACATAACAACAACAATAACAATAACAATGTGAATGAAGGAATGTGTGAAACACAATGTATATAAATGAAACACATGTATATTAATCTTGAATGCAGCCGTTATAATTTTGTTTTTTTTTTAAAGGGGCCAGATTATTTGGTTACTAATATCCTTTCAACTGTTATGTTTATGATTCTCCAATTTTTTCCCCAGGCTGGTTTAGCACTGGGGAATGTGAACTTAATAAGGCCTGAGAGTGGAAAAGAAAAAGAAGCTTGGAATAGAGAGGTATAGAAAACTAAGTAAATTCAGCCCACAGCATAATGGAAAGAAAGTACCCTTCAGGGAACAGTGTGCTTTAACAGAGTTCTGAGGAGAGGTAAAGATAAATCTACAGCTTGCATTTTCTGTTTGTGTTATTGTACATTCAGAATAACCCTCCAAGCACCATGCCATGGGACATGACTCTGCCATACGGCATATCTAGAGTAACAAGGAGCCCTGCAGTCCCACTGTGGGCATAGACAGAGCATGACTCATAGCATCACCATCTCATTTAACCTTACAGAGATGGGTTACACAGTATTAATAGTTTCATTCTAAAGACAAGAAAATCCACATTCTGAAAGGCAAAATCCCTTACCTGAGTTAACTTGGTCTCAAAGCCTGAACTTTTAATTTATTAAGAAAGTTTCAGGGATTCTTGGACTTTAGACCTAGAGAAGTTCTTAAAAAGCCTACCTTCTTAGTTTTACTTCTGAGTGTGAATGGAGAGAAAGAATGGAAATCTCCATTCTCCAGAGAGTCTCTGTGTAGAGAAATGGCTGGAGTTTTAAGGTGATGTGCCATTGTGAATACCATTCATGAGCTGTCCTCTCCACACTATCTACAACCAATAAGGCAAACCATGCAGCAGACAGAATCCAGGAAAGGGAGAGAGGCAAGGATTTATGGAACTCCATCCCAGCCTTTTAATCTCCAGTGCCTTTTTTGTTATTGTAACATGATGCTGAGTTGAACCCAAGACACAGCTGACCATCCAGCAGGTTTTCAGAGGCAGTAGATTGCACAGGAGGAGATTGCCCATATTTCTCCAGGAGAGAAGCTGGTTAATTCAAACCACCTGTTTTGGAGTTGGTACTCCTTACCCATTAGACCACACTCTAAAGTGGTTCTCCAGCACCCCTTTAGAAGTCCAAAATACACAGAAATTTGCTTTCAGACTAGATTTTTTTTTCTTTTTTTTTTCTCAGACTAGATTTTTTTAAAGTGCACTGCAGCTGGAAAGTTAGAGCTCCCATCATGTTTAGTAATCATGGTCTTTGTTAGTCTGTAAAATAAATGTTCACACTTTATGAATGAGGAAATGAGTTTAAGTAACTCACACAAGGTTATAAAATCCCATTGCTGTATAGTTAATTCTGACTCAAAGTCATGCTATAGGACAGAGTAGCATGGCTTCACAGAGTTCCCAAGGCCACAATTAGGAAAGCAATTGCTGACGTTACCTATTTATTTCAGGGAGCACTTGGTAGGTTCAAACTACTGACCATACTTCTTCCTTTAAGATTACAGAAGAATTAGTTGTATGAACCCTCCGTAGTCAAGAGGAGGATTTTGAATCAATGCCTAACATTATCCTTAAAACATTCCTTTAAGATGGTGCAATCACTCTGGAAGACAGTATGGTGCTTTCTAAAAAATTTGGAAATAGAAATACCATTTGACCCAGCAATTTCACTACTGGGAATTTACCCTAAAGAAACCAGTTGGTCACAATAGCAAACAGTTGGAAACAACCCAAGTGCCCATCAAAAAGCTAATGGATAGAGAAGCTGTGGTATACTTACATGATGGAATACTATAAAGCACTGAAAAACAAAGAACTCAAGAAATATTATACAAAATAGGTGACCATGGAGGACATTATGCTGAGTGATATATCTCAATCACAAAAGGACAAGTATTGCATAATGCCACTATTATAAAACAGGACTGAAGTCTATGGGGGAGAGAATAGTCTAAAAGTATTATATTTTAGGGCATTATTTTTATCGTAGGAGTATGCAATGAGGGTTGTAGAGTGGATTATATTTGGGGCTAGGGGGTGGGGTTTGGGGAGGTGCGGGGGCGGATTGTGTGCCAATGAGGGAGTTTTTCTTTTGCTTTTCAAGGAGAGGAGCAAATGGGGGGGAGGGGGGAGGGGTTTGTGTGGGGAGAAGGGTGCAACAATGAATGAATGGAATCCCAAAATCTCTGTAGATGTTTACTGAAATGAAAAATAAACAACCTAAATTTAAAAACAAAAACAAAACAAAACAAAAAAAACAGGACTGATTTGGGGGTTGGCAGAAAACTAAGAAAAGAGGGGATAAATAATGTACACAACATTGAACCAGGTGATGAAGAGAACTGTATAAAAGCAATATATGATCAGGTATTATTCCCATGACAAGAGTCCAGAATAAGAGCTGCATAGTAAAGTGGTCTGGGGAGGAGGGGCAGAGGCACTGTATAAGAATGAAAGGACTTTTTTTTTTCTTTTTTAAATAAAAAGTGAACTGGGGGCAGCAGGGAGGAAAACGTGCAACAATGAATGAATGGAAATCCAAGTTCTTTATAAACTTTCATTAAAATCTCAATTAAAAAATAAAAAAGTATAGCTTTCAGCTTACAAGAATACAGTTTTGGGGTGTCTGATTAAATGCATTATACTAATTTTTAAAGACTATTTTGCTTCCAAATTAGTTTCTATTGCCTAATTTGTTTTTTCTATCATTGGAACCATAGCTGGTTAAAGGTGTTATTTTATCTTTAACTGCTTGAATCTTGTTAAGGTGTAGCTGCACGTGATAGCCCATGGCATTGATTTTTTTTTTAATAGTGAGGCAGTCCTATTTTATTTTTATTCCATAATATAAAAGATCCTTGAAAACTTTGCTTTTATGACTATTAAAACTTTTTTTTTTTAACTATTAAAACTTTTTAGCTTCAAAGTTCAACATAGAGCTGCCGTATAATCCAGTGATACATTTAGGAAAAACAAAAGCAGAAATGCAAACAGAAAAAAAAATCCACCCCCCTCAAAAAAAACAACAACCCCATCCGTTTAAGGTTTTGTCTGATTTCATTCTTTGTTTTTAAAAGATAAGAAAGTTAGAGGGGCAATTCTCAGACTTACTCCTAAGTAGTCACATGGTGAGGTGGTGGCCACCATAGGAAGCCTCAGATCTAAAGGAGAGAAGCATGAGCTTGACAATTTGAAGACACAAACTCTGGTCCTGGATCTACAGGATACTATGTTGACATTAGCTGCCATCAAGTCACTTATTGTGACTCACACTCAACAGAATAAAGTGCTATTCAGGGCTGTGCCATCCAAAGATCAGTTGTCTATTGAATCATTGTGATCCATGGAATTTTCAGTGACTGATTTTAAAAAATACTTTCTTCCTAGACATTTTATTCTGGAAGTGCCACTAAAATCTTTCAGCATTGTGGCAACATGAAAAAAACTACCACTGACAGATAGTGGCTATGCTAGAGGTACATTTTCCAAATATCAAACTTGGGATATACCAGTATCTATACCAGTTTCTTTTATCTGAAAGATATGATAGTAAATATTGTTCTCTAATTTCCAAATCGAGTGCCTTCTGCTTTAAAATGGCATCATAGATGGACAAAGTTGAAGACACTTCTTTAAAAGCAGTATTGTTTGACTCCCAAATTGTCTTACCCACCCTATAGTTTTTTATTTACTAGAGCTTGCTACCATATTTCTTCTAGAGAAAGAACTTTGCTGTCTTTGTACTTAACCGTGCTTAACGATCTCTTATTATTTTATTTTTGCATAGACTATCTGAATGTCACAAGTGTTCACCTGTTCAAGGAAAGATGGGACACCAATAAGGTGGACCACCACACTGACAAGTATGAAAACAATAAGTTGATTGTACGTCGAGGGCAGTCTTTCTACATCCAGATTGACTTCAATCGTCCCTATGATCCCAGAAGGGATCTCTTCAGGTTGGAGTATGTCATTGGTGAGTACCACATGCAAAGCTGAGTCATGAATGTGTACAAGCGCAATTGCATTGTTTCTTAGAATCATAGATGATTATTTGATTGAAGTTGGGCTTCTATGCAATCTCTGGATCACTCTTTGCTCTAAATGAGTCTGTTTAACACCCAAACATCACTCATCTAGGCCCATCCACATAAAAATCTAGTATAAGTAAGCATAGGTACACTTGGTTCAACATTTAGTTTATGTAAATTACTTTCCCAAAACTAATGCTTTTGGCATCACATTGTGACTTCTGATTTATCACTTTTGTCTCATGATTTAATTGGCCTCATATGAGGAAAATATTTTCAAATTAAAGCATGCGAGCTCCACAGGAGCATTTCCTCAAGTTTGTTCTGCTCTAGTCTAGTCCCAAGGGATTTTCCATGAAAAATGGGTTGTCAGATAAAGTTGAGTAAATAATTTGTACCTTAACCTCCTCTCCAAGATTCACAATGAATACTAAAGTTTCCAAGAAACACTATTATTCAACTTTAAGTCCAGTGCTTCTCAAATTTGGGTACACATGGAACAGCTTTATTAAGTTACAGGAATTAAAATTTTGACACATGTTGTTGGTAAATCTTTCTCTAGGAATTTGCAAAATTGCACCTCAACATGCATAAAGAAAAGGTGGTTCAGTATCAGGATGTCTGACCTTATAATACCACATGAAGAGGGAGCATCAGGCAATGAGACCAATAATGACTGAAACGTCTATGATAAAATTCAACCATCACTTCAGGATAGCAAGAGCACAATTCAATGATGCTAAAGATTATATACTCCAAACTTGACAGTATTTGGTATCCAAAGTAGCAAAATGTATTAATTTTAATAAAAAATCAAGAATTATACAATAAAACCTGCTATTATCACTCCTTTTTTGGAAAAAAATGATTGCTTTAAAAATTAACAATATAGGAAAAATAACTACTATAAGTGCTGAAAAATAAAAGATAAAAGTATACACAGCTATTTTTTAATTGTATATCTAGAAAACCCAGTAAGTTAAAGGGAAAAAATATATTACTAGTATGTCTTAGTTATCCAGTGATACTGAGGTAGAAATATTACAAATGGATGGCCTTGATAAATTTATTTTCTGTTAGTTTAGATATCTGAACTCAGAAGAGCTGCTTGAGAGGAAATCTGTCTGTCTCTTTCAATTCTGGAGGACGGTCCTTGTCTCTTTTTGAGTTTCTATCTCTTGGCTTTTGGTAATAAGTAGCTTAGCGTCTCTCTTTATCTCTTCTCGCACTTGTTTGTTTCATCTTTTTTAAATTTCAAAAGAAATGAACTTAAAATACACCTATACTAGTACTACCTCACCAGTGTAACAAAGAAAAGTCGCTCCCACATGGGGTTTTAACCAAAACTCACTGCTTTTGATCAAGGTGTAGCTCATAGTGACCTCACAGGAAAAAAATAGATCAACATCATGGAAATTCCATTGTTGTAATCTTTACTGACCTATGCTGTCACAGCTTTCTCTCACAGAACAGCTGAATCTCTCATAGAAGATCAAATGATTAACCTATTAATTCACTTAACAGCCTAGTGTTTTAACCAGTGTGCTACTAAGACTGCTGATTAAGGTGATATTTTTATTATATTTGTTAATTATAACAAAAAAAACATTTTTGTAAGCCCAGTTTATTTGTACCATTTGGGCTAAAAGTGTTCATTTTACATTTTGAGTCTTCTAGACCAGAAGGCAGTCATTGGAAGAGAGCAAGGAAACATTGCGTGGTTCCAAATCAGGAAAGGTATATGCCAAGGATGCATCCTATCTCTTTACCTTTTCAATCTATGTGTAGAACAGATAGTCTGGAGGGTTGGGTTCTATGAGGAAGATGTGGCATCAGGATTGGAGGTAGACTCATCAACAACTGCGATATGCAGATGACACAGCCTTGCTTGCTGAAACTGAGGAGGACCTGAAGTGCTTGCTGCGGAAAGTCAAGGACTATAGTTTTCAATATGAACTGAAGTTCAACATCAAGAAGACAAAGATTCTCACCACTGGGACAATTGACAACATCATGCTAGATTGTGAAGAGATTGAGATTGTTAACTGCTTCAGCTTGCTTGGCTCCACAATCAACACTCTTGGTACCAGCAACCAAGAAATCATAAGATGGATTGCATCGGGAAAATACAGGAGAGATCAAGGACCTCTCCAGAGTACTGAAGCACAATGATATCAGTGTACAGACTAATGTGTGTCTGATCCAGATCATGCCCTTCACAATTAATTGCTATTCATCAGAAAGCAGGACAATAACTAAGGATGATAGTGTTAGGGAGTTGTGTTGTCACCTCAAAAGGAAGCAGTTTGAAACCACCACTTGGTCTACAGAAGTAAGATAGGCAGTCTTCCATGGAACAATGTGCTTATCAATATCCATAGGGAACTTCCTTGCCACCCCAAACGTGGATCCTCTCTCTCTTGGTTTGAATCCACCAGTCACTCCTTGGGAGAAAGATGGACAAATCTCCACTGGAGGCTCTGCTGTGAGTTGGCTCTAACTGGACAGTTATGAGTGAATGAGTGATGCTGAACTAAGGGAAAGCACCATTATCAAACAGAGTCAAATAATGAATGGTCAAATACTACTGTTTTTAATGGCTGTTAGGTTAAATCAAATCAGCTCTGAGTAACAGCCATCAGATGTACACTAGAGTAAAATCCTGTACAAAGTTGTGTCATTCTCACAACCTGTTATGCTTAACCATATTGTTAAAGTCATTACATTAATCAATACATTTTATTGATAGTCTACGTCTCTTTCACTGACCTTTGCTAAGCATAATGTCCTTTTCCAAAGACTGGTCCCTCCTGACAGTATACCCAAAGTATAATACTTGTATTTACAATGCAAATTGGAATATAAATGTGGAAAAAGCAATTGACTGATGCCAGAGTGGACATGAGAGTGGAAAAAGAGATTCCTAATGGGGAGTAATAACACGATTGTCAGGCTTAGAGTTCCACAGAGAAGTAGTAGTTGTCCCAATTGTAGACTGAAAAGAGAAAACTAAGTTACAATGCTTGTAGGTTGTTACTATTGTTATGTGCTATCGAGTTGACCACATTTCATAATGAACCTATGGACAATAGTTCTGTACCTTGCCCTATATCAAGCCTTCCCCATCATTTCTGACACACCTGATCCCTAAGCCACATTCATTGTGTCAATCCATCTCATAGAAGGTCTTCCTCTCTTTCACTGACCCTCCACCTTTCCAAGCATGATTACCTTCTCTAAAGACTGGCCCCTTTCAACAACATTTCCAAACTGTATGTGATGAAGTTTCACCATCCTTCCCTCCAAAAGGAAGAGAACACTCTTGTTTCACTTTCTCCAGGACAAATGTTGGTGCTTTTAGCAGTTCATGGGCTATCCAGTACTTTTCTCCAGCACCACAACTCAAAAGGATTGATGCTCTTTTGTCATTCTTAGTCCTTGTCCAGCTTTCAGATGCATAAGAAGCAATTGAGAAGACAGTGGCTTGGATCAGGCACTTTGACTGACACCATTGCTCCTTAGCACTTTGGAGAGATCCTTGAGAGCAACTTTTCCCAGTGCAAATCATATTTTGATTTCATGACTGCTAATGCCAACAGCTGCTTATGGTTCCAAATAAGATGAAATGATTAACAATTTCAATCCTTTCTCCATTATGATGTTGTATTTTGGCCTGGTGGTAAGGATTTTTATTTTCTTGATGCTGAGATGAAATTAATTTTGGAGACTATAGACCTTGATGTTCTGTAGCAAGCACTTCAAGTCCTACTCACTTCAGCAAGTAAGGTTGTGTCATTGGCATAAGGTAGGTAATTGATGTGGGATCCCTTGCTGTCCACACCATGGTATCTGGAAGACTGTCGTTATGATTTGCTCTTAGTGTCCTTATGGTTTGCACTTACCAGTCAGTTTCTTGTGTTGGGGAACTGTTTTGCATGTTTCTGTTCTTAGTAGCCAAGATGCATACATGTTTGCTTCTTATCATACGCTTTTATGGGTACAGTGCTTAACTGTCAGAGCTTCTTTATTAAGACAGATTAGGAAGAAGGTTCAAAATCAGGAAGATGCATCCTGTCTCCATACCTTTTCCATAGATACGCAAAACAGAACATTTAGAAGGCTGAGATTTATGAGGAGAAATGTGGCATCAGGATTTAGGGGAAGACTTATCAGTAAACCTACATTATGTTGATGACACAACCTTGCTTGTTGAAACTGAGGAGGACCTGAAGCACTTGCTGCAGAAGGTCAAGAACTGTGTTCTTCAATATGAATTGAAACTCAATATCAAGAAGGCAAAGATTGTCACCACTGGACCAACTGGGAATAAATACCATGGTGGATGGAGAAGAGATTGAGGTTAATAACAGGTACAGCTCACCCAGCTCCACAATCAACACTCTTGGCATCAATAGTCATGAAACCAAAAGACAAATTGCATTAGATAAATTACTTTAGGGGCCTTTCCAGAGAACTGAAATGTAATGATATCAATCTAGAGACTAAGGTGCACCTGATCCAGGCCATGGTCTTTGCAATTACCTGCTTTACATCAGAGAACTAGAAAATGACTAAGGATGATGGAAGAAGAATTGATGCCTTTCAGTAGTGGTGCTGGAGAAAAGTCCTGAACATACCATGGACCACCAAGAAAACAAAAAGGTCTGTTTTGGTGAGAGTAAAGTTTCTCCTTGGAGGATAGTATTTGGAAGCTCCCTCTCACACACTTTGGGCATGTGGCCAGGAGGATGTCCTTCGAGGACTTTTAGTATTAATACATATATAAGGCACAAAGTTCTAATCTACCAGTTGATCCATAGTGGTAAGATGAGAAATATCCTACCATGTGATTTACAGCTTCTGAAAGTTCACTGGAGGGCCAATTATAAATTGGTTCCTACTCCACAACATATAATAACCACAACAATAAATACTAATTTTGGTA